CATGCGCAGTTTGAAATGGAACAGTTTTGAATGCAATAAAATCACACGTAGAACTCGGGCTCCAGCAAGAAATTGTGGCGTCAAACTGGGTTGTCGGTTGAATTGTTTTGCAGTAAACAACAATTTTGGAGCCTGTAGTTGTCTATGAAATGTTTCTAAGTTTTGTTGAGGATTATTCTGTAAAGAAATTGCTGAAATTATTTCATCTGTTCCGTTGTTGCTTTGACGATGGCTACGGACGACTGACGTCGAAACGTTCCATTCAGATCGGATGGCGCCCTCTCGTGCCAATCCCCCCCTGCCTAGAACTGTCTTGTCATATCATGCTTGACTCAAACTTTGTTAAGACTCTAAGGTTGAGGTTGCTAATTTCTCACCTGTCATTGTTTCCAGGTGGCAATAACACATCAACCACCAATTCAACTACAACCAATGCTTCCACACCGAATGCCAGTGGTGCGGGTTTCTCTTTCAATTCAGCTCCAACGGGGGGTTTCAATGCAACTCAATTAAGTATGTTCACAGGTAAGTTTGATATGGAGTAAGCAGAAAGGAAAGGGTGGGACTGAAATCTCCGTATAGCACACTGAAGAGTGTCAATATTTTGGCTGCTTTAACTTTGAGTGGTAGACAAACAAGTTTAGCAGGTTAAAGCAACTGTAAAGCACAAAGCTTGTGATTTTGCATTCTGAGTGCACTCGAGATTGCTCCACTTTCAGGACTTTTAAAATATTAATATCATGCATCTTGCATTTATTTTTCTATATTATAACTAATAATCTTGTTCGTAAGGCAAGAACAGGCATGATTTTTCTGTTATAATTGGTTGTATTTTTTTTTTTGGTTCAGGTGCTTCTGCAAATACCAACAAACCAGCAGTGTCTTTTGCCGCAACAGGAGCATTAAAAACCGGGTCCCCTGCTCTTGGAAATTCTACATCAGGATTTGGCTCCACCTCTGGTAACTTCAGCTTTGGTGCAGGCGCTACTCAGCAATCCACGGATGTCAGTGCTACCTCAGTATTTCCTTCTGCTACACCATTTGGACAACAATCTGCCAACAGTGGTGCCTTGCCAGCATTTGGGGCAGGTAGTGCCCCTGCGTTTGGAGCTGGTACAACCACTGGGTTTGGTTCTTCTGCTGGTGCAAGTACATTTGCCAATACTAACAATACGTCTGTTAGCACACCAACCCAGCAATCAGCAACTCCAGCACCGTTCGGTGGTATTTCCTCTGGAACCCCTCCAGTAAACATGTTTGGTGCCGGGGCTTTTAATGCTGCTGGTTCACAACAAAACACGTCTGCAGCCTCTGCTGGTGGTAAGTAAATGTCATCTATCAGACTTCATTGTTCTCTCCAAATGGACTGTGTGTATATATAAACCCTCATGATACTCAAATTATTTTGAGCATAGCCACACCTGTCATTTACAATTATGATTGTTTTTGAGGTGTTTAAATAAAAATCATTATCATGATTTGATCTGCATGCATCAGCATGTAGGTTGAGTGAGAAGCCGTAAACAACCTTGCATCATAGAAATTTGTTCATGAGACTTAAACTGATGTGTACTGTGGCTAGTAACATGTACATGTTTATCTGATGTGTGCAGTGACCATTAACATGTACATGTTTAACTGATGTGTACTGTGGCTAGTGACATGCACATGTTTATCTGATGTGTGCAGTGACCATTAACATGTACATGTTTAACTGATGTGTACTATGGCCAGTGACATGCACATGTTTATCTGATGTGTGCAGTGACCATTAACATGTACATGTTTAACTGATGTGTACTATGGCCAGTGACATGCACATGTTTATCTGATGTGTGCAGTGACCATTAACATGTACATGTTTAACTGATGGGTACTATGGCTAGTGACATGCACATGTTTAAATGATACCCACAATGCCTAGTAACATGTACTTGATTTTCCTCTTAAATTCAATGTAAATTAGATTAAAATTATCAATCTGTGGTGGAAAAACCTACAATACCAACGCATTGAAATTAACCACCTATCCCCTACTATATACTATACATATTTCTCATTATACATTTATCAGGATTTGCATTTCAACCCAATCCTAGTGGAGGATTTGGCACCCTTGGTGGTGCTGCTGCTGCTGGTACTGGTGTATTTCAGTTCGGTGGAACCAATGACTCAGCTGCCCCACAGCAAGCACCAAGCACGTTCTCTACTCCCGGAGGTTCTACGGGTAACCAGGCATTCAATTTCACTGCTGCAGGAAGTTCACCAGCACCCTTCAATTTCGGGTATAGAATTTGAATTCTTCAATTTTTCTCATAATATTGTAAAAGTAATTTAATTACCTAGTTTTGTGTCTTACAGCAAGTCTAAGACTTGTGTACAAAGTGCATCTGCAAAAGATGCATATATATATATATATATATATACATAAAGGCAAAGCTTGTAAATTGGAAAACCCAGCTTGTAGCTTGTAAGTTCACTCTGTATACAGTTTTCTGCAATAACCAAAATGGTGTTGTTTGTTTTCAGTGCCAACCCTGCTGCTCCAAGCAATATGTTCAGTGCATCGGGGACACCGGGTGCCAGGAAAATAAAAAGACCTGTTCGGAGAAGAAAATAGCATCTTGATGTGACAAGAGATTGTGTGAGACTGTTCTGATGTACATAAACATAACTGCCATGTGAACAATGTACTATATGAAGATTACCACCCCTCATTGCCTCTCCTCCCGTTTTCTTAACCACCCAAAACTTGCTACATTCTATTATTAAGAGGAATTGAAACCAAGAATAAAATGTCACAATATATTTATTACTGAACAAATAACGTCCAAAGCCAGTGATGAAAAGTTTGTTTTTTGTGCGTTGAGACTTATTGTAAGCGTATTCCAATCATCAAACAAGACGCGCTGTAATAATGTTGCAGCTGAATTGAAAAATGAATTTTAATTCTGTAAATATAACCTGATGATGGGTTCCCTGTTCTATCAGTACTGGTATTCCATCGTATAATCTCCTTGCTGTATAGGATTGTTCTGGTTACAGCACAGCACAGCACAGCACAGCACAGTTTTAGTTTTAGAATATCTTTGTCACCATTGTGGGCTGTACTACATATTAACAAGTACGAGTTATTTTATATACCACATCGTCGTACATTGACGTTTTCATCCAACGTCTCAACGAATAAGCCTTGAAACTAGATATACAAAGTGGTAGTATAAAAGTAAAAAAATGTAATGTATTTTGAATATATAAATTCCTCATTTGGAATGTTACATTGCCAGTTATTGTTTTATTGTCATTGTGGAAATTGACATGTCTTCAATGTAAATTGTTTTGTTTTTTTATGGTAGTCATTTTACAGCAAAAACAAATCGAGATATTATCGTAAATGCTCATTACGCTAATTTGTATTTTCTATCTACTAAAAAAAAAACAAAATTTATTCGAGTAGGCAAGACATTTGCAATTTCAGTCCAGTGAAGTTTTTATCAGGTACTTAGGGATCTTAATATTATTCATAACCTGTTTTCAGGAAGTTAAGGGTCATGTATTCCCAGTGGTGCAGATGGGCAGTCGGCAATACAAGTGTACATACAGATTATTATTTTTTTCGTTCGCAATTTAGATGTTCGTTGTACCTAGTGTATCAATCATTTTTTTTTGTTAGATTTTTTTAACCCAAAAATTTTGCTTTTTTTTCGACAATCTTCATATTCACCTTCAAGTTCTACACCCTTGAGATGAAGCCATGCCACGACTGTCCTATTTGATTAAATACAGAAGCAGGGTTATTCTACTGTGTAGTTAGGGGTGTTGGTTTATGTCTTTGAAAATTCATAGGATATCATTTCATTTTACTAATTTTATATTATCGTAATGGAGATGAATTTTGATTTTCTCAGTGAACACCTATGCATTTTCAAAGTATTATCACATGAGCTTTTTAAGCAAATTCTTGAGGAATGAACAGCAGTCAGAAAAAGGGAAAAACATTTTAATTTTTGGCGTGTAAATTTGGGAAACTTAGTCAATGCAATATTTTTTACTGAACTATACAGAAAACAAGAAATGCTTTTATTCCTTTATCATTTGACCCAAGTTCATTCCTTAAAAACAACTGAAATAATTTAAGAAACTGCTCTCTAATTTGTATTATATTTAGCACCTCTCTGCTTATCCTTCCACCACTATATATTGGGATCAGGGTGGAACAACCCACTCAGTGTGTCTTGCTCAACCCTGTGACTTTGCAGAGGGAGGTGTCAGTATTTGTAAAGGGTTTTATTGTAGATGTTAGCAAAGGGATAGTTCATGGTCACTCCAACTTAACAAATTTTCTTTTTTATGGTTGCTGTTACTGGCAACCGATCAATGCCACATTTGGCAGCCGCTCACTACAGAGCAAGTGTAAATTTCTAAGAATTTTGGCAAAGTTGTTTACAAAACATACAAAACAGATTAATTTATTTTTATAAAAAGCAAGTGAAAGTGTGAGAATGCGAGATTGTTTGCGTGCACCAGTTGGAATGAGACATGACTTCCCGTGGCAAATAGCCTCTTCCAAGGTTTATGCTTTCTTCTGTATCCTCTGCTATATTGTATATTTTGGTCCTTGGAAGAGGCTACTTATGCATCAATTTAAGGTCTACTATGAGCTTTGGTTATTCAGATTTAAATTCTGGAAAGCCACTCTAGGAAGACGTTGTATGCTAGCGTTTTTATTATTTTTGCGTGAATGTGAAATGTATGAGCAGGACTATATTTTGTTTTCCATGTGTTTTTAAGGCAGAACACTTCTAGCTGGTTTGGAAAAAATGAGAACTGATGCCAGGCAGATGAAATCGCAATTAATCACCAAGACCAGTTGATCAATAGATCCCCCCCCCCCACTCCAAAAATTATTGTGCAATTGCGAGAAAGGGTACATGGATCTTGTTCAATTGCGAGAAAGGCTACATGGATCTTGTCCAATTGTGAGAAAGGGCACATGGATCTTGTCCAATTGTGAGAAAGGGTACATAGATCTTGTGCAATTGTGAGAAAGGGCACATGGATCTTGTCCAATTGTGAGAAAGGGTACATAGATCTTGCGCAATTGTGAGAAAGGGTACATAGATCTGTCCAATTGTGAGAAAGGGTACATGGATCTTGTCCAATTGTGAGAAAGGGTACATGGATCTTGTCCAATTGTGAGAAAGGGTACATGGATCTTGGCCAATTGTGAGGAAGGGCACATGGATCTTGTGCAATTGTGAGAAAGGGCACATGGATCTTGTGCAATTGTGAGAAAGGGTACATGGATCTTGTGCAATTGTGAGAAAGGGCACATGGATCTTGTGCAATTGTGAGAAAGGGCACATGGATCTTGTGCAATTGTGAGAAAGGGTACATGAATCTTGTGCAATTGTGAGAAAAGG